GAGGTTTTTTTTTTTTTTTTTTAAACAACTAAAACTACAAAAAAAAATGCTATGGGGAAACCTTTTTTTTTTTTTTTTTTTTTTTTTTTCGAACAATGGACGTTAGAAGGAAAAGAAAAGAGAAAAAAAAATTGCAGCACTATAACTTACTAAATGAATAAAGACCACGGCAGCCAATGTCTTTTTTTTTTTTTTTGAAATAAACGATAAGAAAGAGTAAAAAATAATAATAAAAAATAATAATAAATGTATATTTACCTCTTTGGCTTAAAAATCTACTGATCAGTCTTGCTAATAGCACCTCCCCGGCAACGGCGCCAAAATTTGATTAACGCCCAAAAGTGATGTTTACAAGCGGTCAATTGTAGCACAGAAGGGCGGTCGTATCCACAGAGAGATAACAAAATAATAAGAAAGACTAACAGAATAAGAGCGTTAGGGAAAAGTGAATTGAAGAAAAAGAAGAGTTTTTGAGATTTTGTTGCAAATAAAATAGAAAGGAGGAAATTTATATGAAGGGAATTCAATAGTAAAAATGGTAAGGCGTCGAGAATTCCTAATGTTTCGTTCACCAATTCCAGTTTTGATTCACAAAATAAAAAAACCGAATAAATTAAATCTCTATGTTGACTCCGAAAATATCATTGTTGAAAGTTATCCAAAATCGACAATATATCAATTTGACAATATTGCAGTAAAAGACAATTTGTAAAATAATTTGAATGACAAAACATTGCATGACAGAATTACATAAGAAAAACGTGACTGAACTTATATAAAAATTGGCACACAATATTTTGAAAAGTAATAGAAAAATAGATGAGATTTAATTCATTCAGATGTAGAACTTTACAGCATAAGGAATCAAAACTCTGAATTGGGTCACTCAACAGAAGTTCATCTCTAACCTCACCAAGAGAACTCTAGCCTAGCTTACAAAACATTCTCACAAGTTCTAGAGAGAAAATATGAGACTGACAGCAAGACGACAGAAAACTGAATATTCCAAGCTGCCAAAAACCTTAGGCTAACCCCTCTATTTATAGTATTCAGAGGTTGCCTGTCAAATAAGGAAATTAATAGTAAAACTAGAAAATTACAAAAGAAAAGGAAACAAAATAAAATTACACATAAATTAGGAGAAATTTGATTTGGGGAAGAAATCTGGTAATTTGCTCTGCTTTTTGGGGAAGGAATTCGGATTCAACATAGGAGGGACACGTGTCGAAGCTTGATTGGATCAAAGGAATAAAGCGCCATGTACACGAAAATACTTTTGCTTAAAATTTAATGTGTGCTCGCAAGTGTACGAATCGCGAAGTAATAATGATCCGAGGATCGAGTATCGTCCACTGGGATTGTTAATTAGGAAGAACTAAGTATCACTGTTTATCTAAACTGATTTTATCTAGACAATATGAAATTAAGGGATTGAAACTAAATTAAACAACTAAACTAGACTAAGAAAATGCAAACAACGGATGCAAAGGTGATTTGGATCGAAGGGATCTCTATATTTAAAATGGGCTAGGGGGGATTCGACTTCACCTAATTATGCTATATTTATCTAAATCCATCACTTGTCGATGTATTATATTCAATCCTAGATCATGGGTACTAAGATAATCTCACTCCCTCTCTCGAGCGCTAAGTGAAATAATATGCTAAATCGATTAAACTAATATCCCTATTAATTTTACCAATTATGAATTCATTAAGTTAAGTCCATATTTGATCTCCTAAGGTTATACTAGCCTCCCAACTCAATATCTCCTTAGGTTGCGTCTCTTAATTCTCAACGTATAAAATTAACTCTCCCGAGCCTAATTTCATACATCTAGGGTCTCTAATCAAATGGGTAATTAAATTAGAAATTAAGCACACGAGACACAAAAGATTGGAATATAAAACATTCAACAAGCAAACAGACTTTCAAAATATAACTTTCATTAAATTAGATCAAACCCCCCTAGCGTGAGAAAATTAGCTATCCATATTCAAAATTAAATCCACAATTACAAAATACCAAAGATCCATAGTTTAAGCAAAAAATTAAACAAACAATTCAAGAAATACAAAGGGAGAAAGTAATGAAGAACTCCTGTTGGATAATCTCCTCCAAAACCTTCAAACTGCCTTGAATCCCCTTGAAAATCTCAGAAATCCTTGGTTACAACTACTTTTCTTCAGACCTAAGGCTCCAGCCGTGTCTCTGGTTCAATTCTCTACTCTTCGTGTCTGTCCCCCTCTTCCAGCAACTTTCTTTTCCTTTTATATCACCTCCCGAATGTGCACAACTCTCCAAGTTTGAGAAAGGCACGCTGTAGCCCATGGATGTGCGCTGAAATATGCTCAAAAACTACAATATATGACGGGGATAAATTGATGAAAAATCAACTTATCACACCACATGTCGCACGTGGAGTAAAGGAAGTCTGTTGGCGTTGGAGACAGCTGGGACCCGCGGAAGCCAGGTGTCACGCGTGGAGAAGAAGGCAGGCTGGCATTACAGGTGTGGGACCCACACGGAGGAATGCTTTTAACGCGCTGTGGCTTGCTCATCGAAGAAACGCGCCTTGATGGTTAGGCTGTGCTTGTAATGCGTGCATGGAGAGCTGGGGGAATGCGGGAGAGAGCTGGGCACACTCAGAGGCTCAGCTTGATGGCTCGGCTGACGCGGCTCTCCATCTGGCTCGTGTGGCTCGCTGAAAGGCTTAAAAATATGGCTTTCATGACTTCTTCTTGTGTAGCTTTTTACACTGCTTTCATCTATAAATAATTATGCAAAAACTAGACAAATTCCAATTAAAAATATTATGAATAAAAATAATGGAATTGTTTAATTAAAGCTTAAATATTTTAATATTATCTAAATCAAAAGCAATATTTAGGGTGCATTTTTATGCATTGATCAACTATCATAAACTTATTCGTTAGAAATTCATGGATTAGATGTGCTAAGTTGACACGATACTAGGGTGACCACGAATAAAGATATGTGATATGAATTAAGTAATTAGAGAAAGAATAGAATAGTATAAAATTCTCTAATAGAAGGGCTAAACTTTTCTTATGACACACCTAGTAATCAATATGCATAGAACCCAACACATGGTGATTTAGTATTCTCATGAATAGTAATTCTCAAATAAAGTAATAAATCTGCTCATCTATGTATCTACTCAAGGAGATTAACTTGGATAGGTGAAATCTCTTGATAAATGAGATTATAGCTTAAGAAAGATAAGAACCTTAGAATCGAGGTGTGAATCATTATTAGATATTATGAAGCAAGGAAATATAAATAGTATGATTTCCGTGACAATCAAGATGCGTTGTAAAAAGGAAATTACCACATGAATGGAGCAAACCAATTAAGAATAGTGTTTGTCTATTAAGAAGAATTTGGTTGTGACGCCAATCTAAAGTAGATTTATTAGGACTTATAATTAAAACTTTGAGGACTGAAGTCATGAAATTATAAATCAAACTCTTAATGGAGGATATGAAATGTAATCCTTTTAAGGAGCAAAAAAAAAAAAAAAATAATAAAAGGGGGAGAAGATCTCTTGCATAAGTAAATGAACGGTAAGGACTAACAGCTTAGTCAGTATGATAAGTAAGTTAAAGGTAACATATTGGGGTACCAAACATAGTAATGGTTTAAAGATTTTTGTTTTATATATACATGCCCGATAATAAATAGGGGAACACTATTATCAATCTAGGAATCTAAAGAAAATGAAAGAATTTTTTTGTGTAATAATTCTTACACTGGGAGGATGACCTTATTGAGTTTAGAGGTCGATGATTAGGTTAAGAATGATGGGTGTATAATCATTAAGACTATGAACTATGCTCTGAGAGGTACAATGATCGAAAGACGGATGATCCTACCTAAGAACAAAGATGTCAACAGAAGGTAATACTTCGAAATATACCTATTTTAAGGAGAAATTATTAGAATTTGTCCAGAATCATAAGTTTAAGATAATTGTTCTTTGAGAAAAGTAAACACGAGATGAAATGAGCTTAAGAGTTTGATTATATAAAGAGTAAATTAGAAGGAAGAATGCTAAAGTATGAAGATGGTATCTCTTTGAATGAGTTCATACTTTTGAGAGTAATTTGAACTCGACACCAAATAAGAATGGGAAGGGTAGACCCCTTAGAAAGACTCATAACACCTAAGAGACAGAATAATTGAGTGAGTGTCACATTGTTAAAAGAGACATTAGTAACCCTAAAGGAAAAGATGATGTAGCTAGTTGTATAACTATCCTTCAAAGAATTGAAGGAGAGTTATGAATATTTTGTGATAGAAACATAAACAGTTAGAGCCCCAGCAAGAAGATAAGTTATGTCAGATGAGGTCGATACATGTATTCCTTAAGGAATTAAGTATTTGAGGAAACCAGTTAT